ATGAGAATGGCCCCCATAGGCTCATATATTTGAATGATTAGGAACAAAGGAGTAGAACTCTTTGATAGGATTAGAAGGATTAGGAGGTGTAGCCTCAGACCTGAAAGTGTGTCTTTCTAGCTGCGATCTATCGTTTCAAACTCTGTCCCGCGCTCTCTCTCTCTCTCTCTCTCTCTCTCTACCTACCTATGGATCAGGATTTAGAACTCTCAGCTACTTCTCCAGCACTATACCTGCCTTCACATCATGATTATAAACTATACTCTGAAACTGTAAGCAGGCACCCCGTTAAATGTTTCCTTCTCTAAGAGGTGTCGTGGTCATGGTGTCTCTTCACAGCAATAGGACAGAGACTAAGACACCAGCCAAGATTTTTCTGGGACACAAGGCTTTCTCTGGAAGCCTGGCTGGAACTCTGGCCTCATGATAGAACAGACCGAGCCAAGGAAAGTTGCTACCAGCCAGAACAATGTCTACGCCCTGCTCACAGAGACATGGGTTTCATGGCCATATTGTTCCCTCTACTGTTGCTACTAGTCGTAGGTGAGTTTACTTTTAGGAATAGAGCATCCGGTCCACTAATGGAACCTAGAAACTCACCCCTAGCTGGGAAGTGTCAGCTACTCCCCGAGGCAACCAGCGACCCATGTTAAATCACAGTTGTCTACCCATCAACACTTTCTACACACATTTATTGGAATAAAAGCGTAATCTGTCATTTCACATGCCTGAAGGGTGGCCCACTGTTGTGCAATTTTCACTTAATATTTCAAATTTCTTTATAAACCTGTTCTTAATTCTATTTTTACTTTTGAATCCTCAATTGTTTTAGCAACTAGAATTTTTTTCTTTTCATTTTTAGGATCAGTAGGAAGCCAGGCTTGGTGATACATGCCTATAAGCCCAGCTCTTGGGAAGCTGAAGCAGGAGGATGACACAAGTTTGAGGTCAGTCTGGGCCACTGAGTAAGATTCTATCTTTAAAAAACAAAACAAAGATTGTAAAAGCCAGAGGGGACAGATGATTCCAAGGAGACAGTGTCTTCCAGACACAAGACAGGTGCTAATATGAACTCACAGACTGCGGCAGCATGCACAAGGCCTGCACAGGTTCCCAGGGCTGGGAGGAGAAGAAGACACAGGGTCTGGCCTAGTTACGGTTTTACTGCTGTGAATAGACACCATGACCACGGCAACTCTTATAAAGGAAGGCATTTCATTGGGGCTGACTTACAGTTCAGAGGCTTAGTCCATTATTGTCATGGCAGGAAGCATAGTGGCATGCAGGCAGACGTGGTGCTGGAGAGGTAGCTGAGAGTTCTACATCTGGATCTGCAGGCAGCAGGAAGAGAACTGGCTTGGGCTTCTGTGACCTCAAATCTACCGCTAGTGACACCCTTCCTCAAACAAAGCCACATCTACTCCAACAAGGCCACACCTCCTAATGGGGCCACTCCCTACAGACCAAGTATTCAAACATATAAGTCTGTGGGGGCCATTCCTATTCAAACCACCACAGGGTCTCTCACCCCTAACAAAGAAGTTATCTGCAATTGATACTCACTGGCCAAGGGAAAATCAGTTTCGTCCAACAGTGTGTCACTGGGTATATCAACCATACACCAAGGCAGGGTTCATACCCAGGCATAGTTGACAAAGATAATATGGACTCAATGATATTTTTATGGATTTTTCATTTTGTTTTTGTATTTTTTTTTGTCTTATTGGTGTTATACTTATACTTTGTTTTTATTTGGGGGGGGTTGTTTCTTTTTTTGAAAGAGAGAACAGAAAGTTTGGTTAGAAAGATGGGGAAAATCTGGTAAGACTTGGGGGAGTGGAAAAACATGATCAAACTATATTGTATAAAAATAATTCTAATAAAATAAAAAAAGTAAAAATCAGAAGGAAAGGACAAACTATGAACTTCTGAGTGGAAGAAAAATAAGTATTTTAACATATAATAGTGAATGCATTCATTTTTACACCAAGACAAGGCTGCGTTTGGCTTGGCTTTGGTTTTCTGCAGTCCTGCAGCTGGAAGCCAGTGCTTTGTGCACACTAAGCACGTATTCCATCACCCCAGCCCTGGTGAGTTCCTGCTGTTTATATCCTTTCTCTTTGCAACGCAGGTGTAAGATACATGTGTAAGGAGCTCATGAGGTCAGAAATGAAAGGGAGCCTCCATGGGCTCCATCCCCCACACCACCAGCAGAAGGAGCTGGAGCGGGATAGAGGGGCTGCTGGGCCACTGCAAGCTCAGATGCACCCGGCTCTTCTCTCTCTTTCACACACCCACTCTACTGCGCCATAGTTCACCACAGCCTGCTCATAAGCGTGCTACAAGCACACATCAGTTCCACAAGCTGTGGCTGCAAGGACTCTAGCCATCACTGTGGTTCCTTCTTGCCCTACCCAGAATCTGCCAGAGACACAGCAGGGGCCATCCTTCACCCTTTCCCCCTGGGTTCCTACCTTGTGCGTCATGGCAGCATACAGTAGATAGCCCGCCTGCGTATGAACGAGTCCCTTGGGTGAGCCGGTGCTCCCAGAGGTGTAGAGCATGAAGAGCATGTCTTCACTGCTCATGCTTTCAGGGGCACACACAGGGGCCTCTTTGGCCATTTCCTGGAAGGGATAGAAGCACATCACTGGGTCAAGGCACTTAGCCACTCCCCTCCATTAGGCCCCTGGAGAGTACCATTTCCCTAGCTGAAGTCAGGACTCTCAAAGTTTACATTCTATGTCAATTTCAAATGCAAAGACTCGGAAAAGATGGATTGAGGCTAGTGATATAGCTTGGTGTTAGAGCTCCTACTTAGCATATGCAAAATGCTGGGCTCCATTCCCACTGCGGGGGGGGGGGGGGGGGGGGGGGGGGGGGGGGGGGGGGGGGGGGGGGGGACGGAGGGGGGCAGAGCGGGGAGCTGGAGAGGCACATCTAGGAAACCCAGACTAGGAGCCTAACAATTCCCAGACCCAGGTGATCTAATAGTAATCTCTCATCACACTGTACCACATGAGGTAAACCAACCTGCTCAAGCGGGATGTCCAGATTCCCCATGTGAACCTTGGCGTCTGTTCTGTGAGCCACCAGGACGTGCTGGACTGTTGGGCAGCTCTTCACAGCTTCATCCACTATTTTCTTCAGTTCCACTACACGCCCTCCCCGGAGTCCTTGGTTGAAGGTGATAACAACCTTGCACTTGGCTAAGGAACACAACACAGGCTGTCTGATCAGTGTAGACCCTCACAGCCCGGCCTGACTTGTAGATGGATATTCCAGGCCTAAGAGTATGACAGAGGAAGTTCAATCCCGTAAAAGAACGCACAGAAAATATAAGGGTCTGCTTGCTATGGAAGCTTGGGGTGTCATACAGAAGTGCCCCGTCTTTCCTCAACTCTGGGGGTGAGTGGGAAAGAACCAGAAACAAATTTCCTTGAGACTAAACTGTTTTTCTCAAGTCAACAACATAAAGACAGTTTCCCACCAGGCTTCTACCCTCTCACTTGCCCCAGGAGCTTGCCCCAAGTAAGGAATGGTCACATTGCCTAGTGTAACTGTGGCAGAGAAACACCAAGAGATGAAGACCAAATCCCAAGGCTTCCACGTAGCCAGCCCTGCCAATGACTTCTGTAGGCCAAGACCCTTTGCTGTCTGGAGAACAGAGCCACTGCCTCCAGGTGGGTGCCAGGAGTTGTAGCCCAGCCTTGCCTTCAGGGGAGCACTCCCCTCTTCAAAGACCCAGCCAGGCTTGGCTCAGCCCTCTCCCTGGAAGTCCACACTTCTACAGCCAAGCTAGCTGAGGCCCGGGGCAGAGTGTGAGAGACACTATGGTTCTGAGGGACTAGCCTTCACACTACCTTAAGGGGATAGCCCAACAAATGACTCCCATGTGTGGGTTAATTTTCAGTCTGTCCTGTGTAAGAGTCTAAAGTAAATACTCGGCAGTGTACTGTCTGCAAGAGTTCTCCATACTCTTGGGTGTTAAGGATTGAATTTCAAGTGTCTCCCCCAGGTTCCCAGGCTGGTGGTGATATTTTGAGAGGCTCTAGAAACTTTAGGAGGTGGAACCTAGCTACAGGAAGTGGGTTGCTTGGGGCATGCAGCTCAAGGTTGTGTCCTACACACACACACACACATACACACACACACACATACACACAGTCTCTTCTCTGCTTTCTGTCTGCTATGAGGCGAGCAGCCTCTGCTTGACGGTCCCACCAGCATGATATTCCCCCTCACTGTGGGCACAGACTCAATGGAGCCAAAGAAAATGGACTGAACTCTCCAAAACCCTAACCCAAAATAAGCCCTTCCCCACTTAAGGTGTTTTTATCAGGTATTTAGTTACAATGATACAAAAATAACTAATACCCCCAAGGCCTTAAATCTCCAATCCTCGGTCATATATTGCTGTCCATGTCCTCCTGTGAGGAAAGCTCTGGAGTCCAGTTTGGACTCCTTTTCCCAGCCCTATGGCCTACCATCAATGGGGCCTCCCAGGATCACCTCCTAGATGACTGAAGGCACAGGTTCTTCTTAGTGGACAATCCTGAAGAAGAGTTGCAGGAGGGGCCTTCCTGAGCCTCATAACCAGCCAACCTCTGCACTCCCACACTGTTCATTCAGAGGTCCCCAGGTTCTGGGAGCTTCCCCAGTTCCCAGCCACCACATAATGCTATACTACTGTCAGTTAGGGTCAGCTACGATTCCTCAAGCTCAGAGAATCCTAGCTGACACACTTAGTCACTACAGTTACAACGGCAGGAGGGGCAGGAGCAGCCCGCTAAATGCTACAGCATCAGCTCTTATGGAAAACCCCAGTTCTCCCACTTATCCGCTGTGTGATTTGGAGTAATTCACTTAATTCTCTGTGTCTATTTCCTAATTAAAAGGGAATAATAGTAAAGCATGGTGGCGTACACCTTTAATACCAGCAGTGAGGAGGAAGAGGCAGGCTGATCTTTGAGAGTTGAGGCCAGCCTGGTCTACATAGTGAGGTCCAGGACAGCCAGAGCTACAGAGTAAGACCCTAACTCAAAAAACAAAAGGAGGGAGACAATAGTAACCCCTTCATAAAGAAAAGACCAGGGTCAGACCGGTGCACTGGCAAATGAAGAATTGACATTTAAGAAGACTGCAAGCCGGGGGGTGGTGGTAGCGCACACCTTAAACCCCAGCACTCGGGTGGCAGAGGTGGTGGATCTCTGTGAGTTCGAGGCCAGCCTGGGCTATAGAGTGAGTTCCAGGAGGGGCTTCAAAGCTACATAGAGAAACACTCTCTCAAAAAAAACAAAACAAGAAGACCTTGCACCTTGGACAGACGGAGTCCTAGTCAACTAGCACCAATCCTTCTCCAGTTCTTTCAAAAACCGGAAGGAAGGTATACTTCTGATTTCATTTATGAGGACGGCATTATTTTGATGCCAATGTCAGACAAAACCACTAAAAGAAAACTGTAGGTGAATAATATCCCTCCTGAACAATGTTGCAGAGCCCCTCAGTGCTCTTAGTAACAAGACTGTCGCCCACAGCAAGTAGGGTTTGCCCACAGGAAAGCGAGGACAGCTCAGCAAACAGAACCCAACAATGTCATACACGATATTAACAGAATGCAGGAAAACCCTGTTTCAACGAGTGCAGGGAAAGCATCTGACAAATCCAACACCTTTCATTCTAGAAACATGAAACAATAAAGGAGGAATCCGATGAGATGTCCTCAACCTGATAAAGAGCATCCAGGCAACGCCATGGCTGACAGCACACTCAGACTGAAAAAAAAAAAAAAAAAAAAAAAAAAACCAACGCGTTCCCTCTGCAATCAGGACCCAGATAGGCATGCCAGCTTACCCCATCACTAGTCAACATGGTCACAGGACTTCCAACCAGTGCCATTGGAGAACTAAATGAAAACCATCAAGAGTGGAAAGGAAGAAATAACGCTGTCTCTACCCAGGGAAGACATGGACTGTAGGTAGGAAATCCATTTGAAAACTATGAAAGTTAGTAAACATTCAATAAACTTACAGAATATAAGAATAAAATGAAAATTTCAGATGTGTTTGATGGTGTTCACCTATAATCCCAGCCCAAGAGACTGAAGCTAGTAAATTTTAAGTTCAAGGCCAGTGAGAAGACTGTCTAATGAACCATGGGTGGGAGTATGTAGGCTCATCATACACAAGGCCTAGGGACTTCTGAGCTCCTCCCGTGCCCACCCATGCTCACCATCATTGATCCTCCCAGCCAAGGACTCCGCACTAAAGCCAGCAAATACCACTGTGTGGATGGCTCCAATCCTGGCACAGGCCAGCATGGCCGCCACGGCCAGTGGAGACACAGGCATGTATATGGCCACACGGTCCCCTCGGTGCACTCCATGCCTCTTCAGCGTGTTGGCCAGGCGGCACGTGGTCTCCAGAAGCTCCCTACAGCATAGAGAAGAGAAGGCCATTAGGGACAAGGAAGAGCCACAATGCAGCACAATGCGGAGTGGGACAAGTCACAGGCTACAGGCACTGTGTTCCAGCCCAGTGCAGGAGAGCAGGTGGATTTGCAGCATGGCAAGACAGTCATTTTAGTTTCTGAGAGGTCATGTTCCCAAGACTTCTAAGAATGTTGGCTTAAAAAAGGGGGGGGGGCAGAGGCAGGTTTCTAAGAGAAAGTCTTCCAGCAAGAGAAAAGGAGGGTCCCAGTTTTCTATATCAACAGAAGCCAAGCCACCAAGAAACACTTCTTCTAGTCAAGTGCTTAGACCTTGGCGGGACAGGTGCCAAACTGGTGAAGCCATAGTGACTGGGAAGAGAAAGCAACAAAAAGATGACCACCCTGCCTCTAACCCCCTGGGCAGAGTTGACAGGCAGAGATCTGTGCCCAGCACTGACTGGGCACAAATGACAGACTGGCAACAAACAGGCACACACACACACACACACACACACACACACACACACACCTACATCAACATGATATAAGAGGTCATAACACCAGGTCATAACATTTAGCCAGCTAATCAAAAGATAAGAAGTTGGGTTGGCTCAGAGTTAACTAACGATTCTTTCATAATCATAACCCTTGGCTAATTATAGTCCATGATACTGAATTCCAAGAAAACCAGGAGCAGCCAAGTGGTGATACACTCCTTTAATCCCAGTACTCGGGAGACAGAGGCAGGCAGATCTCTGTGAGTTCGAGGCCAGCCTGGTCTACAGAGTTCATTCCAGGATAGCCAGGGCTACACAGAGAAACCTTGTCTCGAAAAACCAAGGGAAGGAAGGAAGGAAGGAAGGAAGGAAGGAAGGAAGGAAGGAAGGAAGGAAGGAAGGAAGGAAGGAAGGAAACTCAGGAGTATAGAATAGGAAAGCTGCCCCCATGGTGGAGGCAGAAGAGGAGAAAAGCAGAGCAGGGGGCAGATAAGCGCGTGGCTGGCTGTTCTAACACCTTTTCTCATCAAACTTGGATGTGGAAAATGGATATCAAGTCATTTTCCCTCTTTTTCTGTACATTGTTTCATATTAATTAATTATTTACAATTAACTAATAATATTAATTAATTAATTAATTACAACAAAAAACTAACTCAGAAGGCTAGGGTAAGTGGGAGAACAAAGACCCCCTTTTCCTGGCCACATTCCTGACCTCTGATTTGTACCAAGATGCTCCAAATAAGGCAGAGTCAGGCCCGCAAGCAGGCCCAAGGGGGAACCTTGCTTCAAGCCCCTCAAAGCCCCTGAAAAGCACAATTCCCTATCCACGGGGCTTCAAGAAAGGCTAATCTCAACGAGAGGCCCCTGGGAAGCCACAGCAGAGTGAAAATGCAGCCCCCATCTCAGGCAGAGTTCAAGGAGCCCTTTGTTTCTACTGAAGCTGTTGTGCAAACCCCAGTGAGCCTGATGCCTGTCCTGCCTGCTATTGGCTCAGCTGCTGGCCACTCCTGCCCAGCTCGGTCCAGTGCCCCTTGAGGGCTTCCATCTTTTCTCCCTGAAGCTTTAAAGAGGACAAAGGCGCCATTCAGCGGTACTTTGCCTACCCTTTCCCTAAGTTAACAATGAAAAAACACTCCAAGGCCAAAGCCACAGAATCTAGGGCCCAGAATCACTCCTACTCCTCTAAGAAGCCTGCTCAGCACTTAAAAAAAAAAAAAAAAGCAGCTGTGATCAGTAATGCATGAAGAAATCTGGGCCCTTCCTGCCAGCTCTGTTTTCACAGCTCTAGAGCTTATGCCCTGGGCAGTGCTGAGGGAGATGGAGTCTCGCGTGGCATGCCCGCTGACCACCGGTGTTGAAATGCAGCCTTTACCCTGAGGCAGCAGTTTAAAGAAAGAAGGACTGTGGCCTATCCTTATAGCAAGACCTTCCTATAGCAGACGCAACCCTACTACAAGTTCTGTGATCAGCCTGACATTTGCCTAACGTCACACAATGTAAGTGCACCCTCCACCCCCAGCCTGAGAGTCTGAGATGAGCTCTAAACAGGAAACAGCGAGAAAGCGAGTCCAGAGAAGGAGCTGTGTTTACCTACTCATTTTTGGGTGTTGTTGTCGTCATTGCTATGAGATAGGACCTCATAGCCCAGGCTAACCAGAAACTCTCGATATAGCCTAGGCTAACCTGGAACTCTCCACCTCCTGTCTCACCTCCTGTGAGCTAGAATTACAGGTGTGTGCCACCACCAAGCCCAGCTCAAAGCTGGTTTTCTTCATGACTGATATTGAGAGATTCTTTCCCTCCTAGTCATTTCCTGATGTTAGCCCAAGGAAGGAAAATATTGACTGGTGTGTGCTGTGTTTAGGAAACAACAAATTGACAATGGATGGTTTGTCCATTTCCCACACTGACTCTGGCTTTCCAAGATCATAAAATAAACACCAGCTGAAAAATCTCATCCTCTTTAGTATCTGCCTGTCCCGTAGAGTACAAGGTCTGCCTAGACAGAGCTTTGAGTCATATTCATTGCCTTCTGCTCAGCATTTATAATAAGGCAAGGTCATAAAAGACACCCAGAAAATATTTATTAAGTGAATATATAAATGAGTACAGCAAGTGAACATAAAATGGGAGCCACACAGGTCCAAGGCAATGAACCACACCCCTGCAGCCCACTGGCATAATCTCTCTACCCTCAAGCCTTAGAGGGCCAACTCCATGACCTAAGCAAACACAGAAGGGCTCTGCTACAATCTCTAGACTACAGGATTCCCTTCAGTGCAGTTTTAGCGATGCAGAATGTAACAAGACTGCATCCTATCTTGAGGAACCAGCCCTGGGAACAGTTAGTTACTGAGCCATAAAGCCTGATTTTATAGTGATGAAATCCACTCACTCTGCTGCTTACAACCCTCAGAGAATGGAAGCCACAGAAATGGGCTGGACAGGCTTATAAACCAAGTACGCCATCATGAGCTGTTATGACCGTGACCTTTAGCACAGAGCCTTGACGAAAATATTAAGCACCATACTTCAACATGGAAAACTCCCAAAGCTGCTGCTGTTTGCCAGTGAAAGCCCAAGACACAACCAGGGGATCCCATGAGACAATACCTGGGTGGCTGGGAGTGATACCGGGACATCTAGTCAACCTGGGCCCCTCCAGCTATGTTTTCTAAATTCTCTCAGAAAACACATGTACTTTCCTTGAGGTGTGCTACACTCTGGTGAAGGTACTGAGCTCAGCCTTTAGCCCCCAGAAGGGCGTCTCCCTGGACACCCATTAGTGCCTGAGTAAAGATGAGGATCTGTTGTGGAGCAATGAATGTCCTCTGAGCATAGCTGCCATTGCCCTGTTAACTGGACCAGCTGTGAACACCTGCAGGCCACCCTATCAAGACCTGGCTCTGCTGCTCTCTTATAGAAGGGGATGGTGTCAGACCCTCACCAGAGACTCCAGCCACTCCCTCCTGCACCGCCACCCCTTCCCAGCTGTATGCAAGTCTGCTCTAGCTCCTTGTGATCTCAGGGGTGCTCGAAGTGTAAAGAGGCTGGAAAGTAGTCATTCATGCCGGAGTGGCACTCTTCAGTCATGCAACTGTTTGGGGGTGCAGGCTGTAACTAACCCTTCTCCCAAGCTTCTGTAAGGAACTCCAATGAACTTACCGGTTCACCATGCCAGCCTAGGGTGGAACTGTTGCTTTGCCCATCTGCCGTGGTAGACGTATCTACCCAAGAGAAGCTAATACATATAATACATATAACAAGATCTCACTAGGCTCCCCACACTTTGGAATAAAATGACCATATAAAAGAGTGCATCACTAAAGGAACTGTAGGCCCCAACTATGACGCCCCAGGCATCTTTAAAGGTATTTCATAGATGGCGGCTATAATCATTACAGAAAATAAGCTAAGAGGTAGGAAAGAGTGTGAATACAAACAGCTCCTTAACTGCCTTTTTTTTTTTCTACATGGGTATTGCATCCAGGACCTCACACAAGTAAGGCAATCACTCTATCACTGACCTTCACACACAGCTGAATAAAGCTTTATTCATTGAGACAGACTTTTTAAAAGATACATTTTTATACTGTTCTCGGGATAGAAGCCAGCACCTAACACGTTCTAGGCAAGCATTCCTCCACTGATCTACAACCTTGATTCTCTGATGACTCCTTAGCAGAGACAGGCACCTCATATGTCCCTTCCTGTGAAGGAGAACATAAAATGCCAGTTTGTCCTGTGTAAGTCGCAGGACCTGATCCTCGGCTCCCAGTAAACGTGGCCCAGGTGTTTGTGGAGGCCTTCAGTAAAGCATTTCACTTGAGCAGTCCACATGCTTTGTGGCCAGCAGCCAGCACAGCAGCAGGAGCAGATTAAGGGTACAGGATCACCCACAAGTACAGCTGCTGCCCTCTGGGCACTCACTGGGGCCTGGGGTTTGAAGAAGCCCAGGGGAAGGTGTGCCCACCCTATACCATCTGTGCAACCACCAGCCACCACCCTCCTCCAGTCACACTTGCTTCCCACTGGGAGCACAGGGAGCCTTCTCCCTAGGCCAGCCACAGCCACCTTCAGGCCCATCACCTCTTAACGCCTCAGCCTAAAGAGGCTGATTGCCTTTCACAAATTCTCATCTCCCTCCTGTTAAAACATCAGTAACTAACAACTGTAGAGTGCCCTGTACCCAAGATGGTTCCGAATCCTTCAGATGGAAGAACTTTTGCAACAGCTTTCTGTCGCTGAAACAAAATACCTGAGCGAATCACTTTAATAAAAGAAAAGGTTTGTGTTGCTGGAGGGCTTCTCTCCAGGTTCCACCAAACCCCGCAGTCCCACAATCCACATATAAAATAATCACTCAGATGCTTATAATACTTATAAACTGTATGGCCATGGCAGGCTTCTTGCTAACTGTTCTTATATCTTAAATTAACCCATTTCTATAAATCTATACCTTGCCACGTGGCTGGTGGCTTACCGACGTCTTTACATGCTGC